AACAGAAGGAAAGTGACTGTTTGGCTTTAAGGGAAGAAATACAAAAGAAATACAAATGCAATTACTTTTTATAGAGTATTTAAATCACTGTTTGCATCCCCTCATTATTATTTGTGCTGTGGGAGAAAAGAAGGGACAAACACTTTGTTAATGGGGTTCACATATCCTGTTAAAAGGGAAAATTATTTCATGTGAGAAGTCTGCCAGGAAATGCTGTTCCTAAAATGCATAGGCATATACACAAACAAACAAAACAAACTGTTAAAAAACTACTCAAGAGAGGAACTCACAGTGGGAGTGCTTTGATATTTACCTGTGAAAAGAACTCTGCATGTCAAGACCTGAAACCTGGCAACCTCTTGACCCTTGATGGTCCAGTACCCAACCCCTTTGTCTTAATTAGCCCCTGGAGCAAAAGACATCAAGGATGATCTCCCCCAATGGTTCCAAGTTCCACACAATTTGAATAGGTTTCTCCTTGCAGCACACTCTCCAAACCTCCTCTCCCCCCTCCTCTCCCCCCTCCTTCCTCTCTCTCTCTCTCTCTCTCTCTCTCTCTCTCTTTTAAGCGGATCTAGCCTCTGTGCATGTGCAGAGTTCATGTCTCAGCAAACCTTTTATACTATTGAAAATGTTGCATCTTTTGGCTAAATTAGAATTTGAATAAGGGAAGGGTAGGGTAAGGAGTAGATTTTAAAAATAGGGTTAGATTTTAAAACAAAAAGGAGAAACTCAGCAATTCAAGTATTCACCAAAGCTAGCAATTGCAGCCCAAGCAAAGGACTGCTTCCTTTATGTACAGGAAAGGGCTAATATCCCTCTGGCTATTCGCGGAACAATGCCACGCCCTTATATATGGGGGAAATGGCCAGAGTCAGAATTCATAGGATTTATTATTATTATTATTATTATTATATTTTTTTTTAAAATATTCTCAGTCATTCAGCCTCACCATTTGCAGACAAATTTTTCTGTCCTTTATTTACAGGATGGATGGTTAAGGCTCATTCTACTGGACTATATGAATTTTTATGTGCTTAAACTTTGAATAGACTTTTAAGTTTGATTTTTGTAAATAATAGACAAAATGATAAATACTGTAATCACTCAAATGCTTGATATCACCAGTTGTGCTTCAAAAACATCACGGCTTTCACCCCTCACCTTTTAAAAACAAAGAGCAAATCTGGGCTGAATTTCAACTCATCAGCCACAAATTGGGAGTTGAAAGGGACCCTGGGGTCATCCAGTCCAACCCTAAAATACAGGGTTCATAGCAAGATTTGTACTACCAGAGAGACACACACATACTTATGTACACAGACACAACTGGGGAAGAGACCACAAGCCATACACCTATCACAAGCCATGCGCATATCATGTACTAATGAAGAGGAAAATAAAAGTACCCAACTTTATACAGAACCCTTTTAGCAGATCTTGAAGCTAGTTTGAGTGAGAGTTTACTTCCTTAGACTAAAGAGTGCAAGTTCCTAGAGAAATTATCTTTAAAGGAAGATTGAAGTGAACATTTTCCTAAGATAGGGAGAGGATCTCTTATAAAGCAAAGTTAATTCAATTGATATAACCACTCACAAATAATTAAAACAGCCATAGATTTGATTTAAAAGGAATACAAAAGTGAACAATTTCTCCTGAACTTGCAGAGGAATAGTAAGCCTAATCTATGCCCCCCCCCCTTTGCAGTTTCCTTTAAAGGAAGCTTACTCGGGAGTAAATTTACTTGGCACAGAAGTAAGAAGGAGAAGAAAAGAAGAAGAAAAACCTGAAAGACAGAATGAAACAAGGGGGGGCATTTTCTAAGAAAGAGGCCAGGAAGTCTTATAGAGACTGATATTTGGACTGGACTCATAGAATTTTGCTGGCCATGGAAGCCTCTACATTTAATAACAATTTTCTTAGAAAGAACACCATACTTTCATAGGCATATGCTTAATGAAATACATACACTGCATTTTAGCTTGAGAGAGCAGTTGGCTCAACTAGGCTTTTGCAGCAGAAACATTAGGTTAACTTCACATTCCAAAATAGACTGGAACACAGGTGTACTCACAAACTCAAGTTACAACACAACATCATTTACCATTAGACTTCTCTCCTCACTTAAACTAGAGGAAGGAGGTGGGGTAATCCTCCTTTCAGAACACAAGTAGCACGTATACAGGATTTTACCACTTGGGAGAAAAACTCTTTTAGAGCCTCTCTCAAATAACAAACATTTGCACACTTCATTCTCAATTTTTGTCTTGTTTAAGATTGATAACGTTCAACATGGCTTTCTTAGATTTAGAACTTGGAGCAAGCTTGCATTTTTATTTTAGATGGCACATTCAAGATAAGCAGCTGCTGGATGTTACCTAAGTACAATTTAAACACAGGAAAAACGTTTCTTAAACACAAATTGAAGGGGACTGTCAGAGTCCAGGCCGGAAATAAGCGCCAACTGGGCTTCTTTCCCATCAGGAGTCTGCGGGTTCATTTCTTTTGATTGAGGTGCACCCATTTTATTAAGAATTTTTAATAGCGCTAGCTTTTACTTTTATACTGCAGTCGGGGTTTTATCCCCACTTTTCAGGAAACACAATAAATAACCCACAGTAGACTCAATTTGGACAACTCCGAGAATTTGTACTGTGACACACCGCCGTTCGTCTGGCCTGACTTACTAGGCTGGTACAGCTGTTGGCCTTTCCTGGCTACTAAGCTAACAGTGCGGTCAGCGATCTCAAACCCCCCCATAGTCATTACTCAGCCAGGGAGCCCACAGCAACCTCCTGCCTCTTACAATCTAACCTGAGAGTTCCCTACTGGACGCTTGCATGGCGCAGTGCCAGATTGGGACTCAGAAATGACAAAGAAGGAAAGGAATCAGGTGCCCTTGCTTTCTCTGCTCACAGGTCATCTCTAACAAAGATCGCCATGGCAGAGGTGCGGCTGCACCTGGGAGTTATAGTTTTCAGTACAGAAGAAAAAGCACGACCTTTTTCTGGGCAAAACTCCGAAGGAATAGGTCGGCATATAGACTGTAGAAGGGAAATGAAAGAAGTCACACACAACTTTTGCCTGGGCATACTCCGAAGGGCTAGGGCTGGTGTTGAGATCGAGGGGACAGAAAGGAGAAGGCAATTTTTAGATGAGGAAAAAAGTAGAAATTTTAGAATTGAAGGGAAAAGGAAGAATTAAAGAATTTTGGTTGCTGTGGTTTAGAGAACCCAACCCACTACCCGTGTTTCCTACTTAATACTCACTTCCGCATGCGCTGTTCCTGGTGATCCCACGATCTCTTGACTGGTTGTTTAAGGCCGGCCTGATCAAGCGTTGCTTCCTCTGGTTAGCCCCACTGAACCTCCAGTTATTTCCAGACCCTGGGATCGATGGAAGACTGGTTATTCCTCCTGGCAAACTGCCTGGTGCGCGCTGGATAACCAGTCCTTCCTCGCCTCCAGAATCCGGGTAACCAAAAGTCCCTTCGTGCGTGGTGGCCATCTGTTGTAAATAAAATATATGCCCTTTTCCCTTATGGGGTATCCAAGAGCCCATATAGAGTCCTTACATAGGTTCCCTATTGGTAGGAGAAAATAACAGAGGCCAACCAGAGAATATTGAGAAGCAAAGCAGCTAGTAAGCTTGATCTTTATTGATCTGTTGCAACAGGGTACTCCCTCACACGCAGGAGAGGAGGAGGACCCAGAAAGATGGTGTGCAAGACCTTAAAGACTTTTGAAATTCCCATTCTCTAGATCAAGACCACCCCCAGAAACATTATGCATTCATCACAGAAGGGGTGTAACCTAAGACCACCCCCCAGATACATCCCACCTACATCACAGAAATTTAAATGTTGTTTTTCTCCTGTTGTTGTTTATCTCCTGTCTGGCAAGTTACTTGATTGGATTTCCCGGGGAGCCTGGCCATTCTTTTGTAGTGGTAAAATACTTATTTCCTGGGCCAGGTCACAGGCTCACACCTTATTCAAACAGACATATCCTTGAGACAGGATTTGTGAGGAAAGAGACAATGGGGAGGCTTTTCCAGTTTAACCTTGCAGAGAAAGGATTTGGTCAGTTTGGGAATCAAAATGGTTCCAGGTTGGCCTTCCTGTGTTGATCTATGTATGTGCGGTTATGAACATTGCCATATATCTAAGACCATAAAATTCCTATCACAATACCTCCCTCCTTTGGCCGCCCTCCTCCTGTAAATCAAATGCGGAATGGTGCAGATGCATGGTGTGGTTTATTTTATATTAATATTTGAAAACGCTATGGGGTCCTATGTAGAAAGAAAAACACTTTCACTCAAAAGCAGAAACAGTTGATTAAATCAGACATGGTCTATTGATTTGGGTACATTGTAACAATTTAGTCGGGCCATGGAAAAGCATTTGGGTGGGTGGGTGATGTTTGTGCTATGTTCATTGTAAGTGTGTACTCATGGGGTGGGGTCTCCAGGCCCCCCCGCCCCTGAAATTCCTGTAACCATGTATATGACCGACCACAGAATGAACCACAAAAACCAGAGCACAGCCAAGGAACAAACAAACGAACAATACAGTGGTGCCTCGCAAGACGAAATTAATCCGTTCCGCGAGTCTCTTCGTCTTGCAGTTTTTCGTCTTGCGAAGCACGGCTATTAGCGGCTTAGCGGCTATTAAGAAAAAGGAAACAAACTCGCAAGAACTCGCAAGACGTTTCGTCTTGCGAAGCAAGCCCATAGGGAAATTCGTCTTGCGGAATGACTCAAAAAACGGAAAACCCTTTCATCTAGCGAGTTTTTCGTCTTGCGAGGCATTCGTCTTGCGGGGCACCACTGTATATTAAATACTTTGATCCTTAAGGAATCGTCATGATTGTTAAATAGACTCCACCAAATTAGATCACACCAACGTCCATGGAATGGCCGAAATAAAAACTGAAATGGTTCTGCGTTAGCAAGAACACTGTATTAAAGTGACATTCATATCCATAGCTTCCACTGTAAAGAACTGAACCTGGAATTTTTTTGATGCTGCCAACCTTGAAGAATATCGAAGGCAGAGATGGTGATGATATTAACTGTGAATGTAAAATATCGAACCAACCAGATGGAGACCACCAAAGTAACCATGAAAAGCAATAATGTGTCTTGCGTCAATTAAGGTACAAAAGGTTTTGGGACAAAAGTTGTTGGTTTTTTTGGGGGGGTGGTAATTATAAATGAAGGTTTAACTGCAAGTTTTCTTGCCAACAGATTTTGTCAGTGCAAACATGGAAATCAGAGGTCTCCAATGTGGTGCCCAACAATTCTCTGGTGTCGGCTATTTCATGTGTACTTACCTGAAACCATTAGCTAGAGTGTACACAATAAAAAGCATTACTGGCCCTTTAAATAAAGGCAGCCAAAGAATAACGAGAAAACTGCACTATCACATCTAGTGAATGAATAGACCTGGTGCTTTGAATTGTCTATTTAAATGACCTATCAAGCTCCAACCAATGAATGTTAGCAAACAGCACCAACTAGAGTATGGAACACAAAATATATAATAAAAATAAGAACAAAAACAAACCAATAACACCTCCCTCCCATCACACATTTAAAAGGATAAAAGGTAAAGGGACCCCTGACCATTAGGTCCAGTTGTGGCCGACTCTGGGGTTGCGGCGCTCATCTCGCTTTATTGGCCGAGGGAGCCGGCGTACAGCTTTTGGGTCATGTGGCCAGCATGACTAAGCCACTTATGGCAAACCAGAGCAGCGCATGGAAACGCCGTTTACCTTCCCGCCGGAGCGGTACCTATTTATCTACTTGCACCTTGATGTGCTTTCAAATTGCTAGGTTGGCAGGAGCAGGGACCGAGCAACGGGAGCTCACCCCGTCATGGGGATTCGAACCGCCGACCTTCTGATCGGCAAGTCCTAGACTCTGTGGTTTTAACCCACAACGCCACAACTAAATGTAATGTATCCACTTCAGAGACAGCCTGAAGTATCTGAAGTGTGCATGCACATGAAAGCTCTTACCAATAACAAACTTAGTTGGTCTCTAAGAACACGGATATCTACCTGTAACTAGCCTCTATGAATGCATGTATCCTCCCAGGCAGTTAGAATATTACAGTGTGAAAGTTCATGTGTAAGTCACTGTATAACAAAAACTGTACAAGAAACTTTAGGAATCCACTAGAAAACAGCTGTTCTTTCCATGTCCTGTTCTGTACAGGGAAAGGTAGGCCTAAAGGGTGACTCAAGAGAACCATTTACCAGGAAGCATAGAGTCAGTAGGCGAATGGCCTCACCTAACCCAATGCCAGACAGATCACAAAGATGGGCAACCCTGAAATGGATTTGGACTCCAGGGGACCAAAGAATCATGAGGAACCTGACCAGAGAGGTCAGGAACTGTAAATAGTTTTAGTGTCTTGTGTTCACGGGTGTCAGGAGATGGGGAAAGGGTGGGGAAAGACAGCTATCTGCTACCCAGGTACTGCCCCGTACCTCCCCTTGTGGGATGCATCAATGATGTAGCAATGATGAAATATTGGAGGTGGGACTGGGAATTTGGGGAACTAATAAAAGTGGGGGGCACCTTCTGTTCGAGGTCTGACTCATCTTGCTGCCAGAGGAGTGCGGACCCTGCTATAGCAGTTGCTTTTACAATAAAGGTCAGACTTCTTAGCCACTTCCCTATACAATTTGCCTTGGTCCTGCCTGTTTCTTTAATCTCTGACCACAGGGAGTCCTCTTTACCTAGAGGGCTCACAGAGTCCCCCAAGGACCTGGAGCTGCGTGTTCCATTTTTAAAAATATTTAATTGAAACAAGCTTTCACAATTATGTAGAGTGGAGGACTCTTCACAATGATCTTATACTGCAGGAAAACCGCTCCTTTTTGCAGTGGAAGAAGCCCTTCATATTCCATCTCATCCTGATTATCAGAAGATTGTAAATGATCCACCATGCAAGGCTATTGGTGGTGATGTCTTTCTGTATTCGTTCAAAGGTTCTCCTCAGAAAAGAAATGATTGGCGCTGTGATCAATATCGTTGGATCAACTGTGGTGTCCGACGATGGCCGAGAATTAATCCGAAGCTGAGGAAATTTCACCATAAAATCAAAACTTGTTCAAGTCCAGACAACTTCATAAGGCACAGTTATAGACTGCTAGAGCCTTCTTGTGAAATGGTTCTGATACACTATATTGGAAATGAGAGGGAATTCCATGCACTTCCTCATGGTGACAGAAAGAGAAATTTGCTAAGACCACATGTACGGACAATGCCTTCAGTAATAAGAAAGATTTCAGATACAAGTGCTAAGGCCTCAAAAATCTATAAAGACCTTTGTAATGACCCTGTAACCAGCTCAGCTCATATGCCTGCAGCTCAGCCACGAAACCTGGAGCAGGTAAGAAACAAACTTTTTTAAAAAATATTTTTAATTGATTTTTCCATGTATACTTCTTCTAACGATATATCTTTAACAATTTTTCATATTTCCACCCTCCTCCCCTGGACTTCCCTCATATGCCTATTTTGCTTTATTTCCATATTGTTCACCCTGCATTTTTTCCGCCAAAATTTCACAGAATGCATATTATCTTACTTTTTGCTGCATACAATTGTGATTGTTTTCTCAAACCCTGCCAAGGAGTCCATTTCTTTATGTTGCCTCTTCATATATGTTGAAAATGGTCCCCCTTCTCTTTTAAAGTCTTTGTTGTCCTTTTCATGTAGTTTATCTGATAGTTTTGCAAGTTCTCCATTTTCCATAAGTTTCCCTTGCCATTGTTCTTTCATTGGTATTTCTTCTGTCCTCCAAGTTTGTGCTAATATAATTATTGCCACTGTTGCTGCATACATAATTTCTGATTTTCTTTTTTTAATATCTTGATCTACAATTTATAGGAGTAATTCTTCTGGTTTCTTAGCAAAAGTCTTTTTAAACATTTTCCCCCAAATTCATTATATATCAGACAAGGTTGCTTATTATCACTATTGACTGAAATAAATATAACATCTTTGATAATGCATTCATCTGTATTGCTGCTATCCATCCCATCAAGGAGAGGTTCATTCTCTTCCAAATTTCCAAATCTATCTTCATCTCATTCCAAACTTTCTCATAGTTGTCTTTATATAAATTTACATTTTTATTATCAAGCCAAATTCCTAAATATTTGACTTTTTAATGAATTTATATTTTTGCAATCTCCTACAGTGATCCATGCGACGGTCACCTCCAGGCTTGACTACTGTAATTCGCTCTACGCGGGGCTGCCCTTGAAGCTGACCCAGAAACTCCAGCGGGTGCAGAATGTTGCAGCGAGACTCCTCACGGGGTACCTGCCATGGGAGCATATTCACCCAGTGCTTTACCAGTTGCACTGGCTCCCGGTGGAGTACAGGGTCAGATTTAAGGTGCTGGTCTTGACCTTAAAAAACCCTTTGTGGCTTAGGGCCCTCGTATCTATGGGACCGCCTCTCCTGGTATGCCCTGCAGAGGACCTTAAGGTCCATGAATAACCATAGTTTAGAGATCCTGGGCCCTAAGGAAGTCAGACAACCCTCCACCACAGCCAGGGCCTTTTCAGTGGTGGCTCCAACCTGGTGGAATGCTCTGTCCCATGAGACTAGGGCTCTTCAGGATTTAACCTCCTTCCGTCGGCCTGTTAGACAGAGCTATTCCACTTGGCCTTTAATTTTAATTCAGCCTGATCTTTTATTTCCCTTCTCTTCCCTCCCCCTCCCCTTTTATGAAGATCACCCGCTCTGAGACCCCACAGCTAATTCTCCCCTGTCCTCCTCGCTGGCCCAGGTAGGACTAATTCAGCCAGCTAGCCCTGGGGAATATCCAATGCTTATTTTCCCTAAACTGATTTTTGAATTTTGAATTTTATTGTTATTCATGTTTTTATACTCTATTTTATGCTGCTTTTATAATTAAGTGTTTTAATTTTGTTGTTAGCCACCCTGAGCCCGGTTTTTGAACTGGGAAGGGTGGGGTATAAATAAATAAATAAATAAATAAATAAATAATAATAATTTTCTCCAGTTCCGTCATTTTTTTTGGTTAGTATTTTTGTCTTTCCTTTATTTAATTTAAATCCTCCCACTCGCCCAAACTTATATTTTTTCAAAAGCTTTAGGGAGACATAGCTTTGTTTCCTCAACTGTAATTACCAAGTCAACAAGCAAATGCTTACAACTTAAATTCATTTCCCCCATTCTTATTCCGACAATCTGTTTGTCTGCTCTTATGTTTCTGTTCAAAACCTTCAGGACCAGAATGAATAAAAATGTGATAACGGACATCCTTGTCTCATTCCTTTTTCCAATTTGGAATTCATTAGTTATCACCTGGTTAATAATTAGTTTTGCACATTGTTCTGTGTATACAGCTTGTATCCCTTTTATAAACTTTTCTCCATATTCCATTTCTTCCGTCACTTTCCTTATAAAGTCCAAAGATACATTATCAAAAACTTTTTCCACATCTATAAACATCATTGCTGCTTTTTTCTCATTTCTTACTTCTAAATACTCTATTACATTTAAAATATTTCTTATTTTATCTTTCATCTGCCTACCTGGAAGGAATCCCGCTTGGTCTGTATTTAAACATTTAAGACCTTTTTCAATCTATTAGCTAAAATGTTAGCAAATATCTTGTAATCATTGTTCAAAACTGAAATAGGGCTATATTTTTTGACCAAGGTCAAATCTGTATCTTGTTTTGGAATCAAGGTAATATAAGCTTGCTTCCATGTTTCTCAAATTTCCCCTTTTGTTAATATTTCATTCATTATATCTTTCATTGGATTTACAAGGTGTTCTTTAAAATTTTTTATTGTACTTTGCTGATAATCCATCTGTTCCTGGTGATTTGCCCACCTTTATTTGCCTTATTGCCTCGGAGATTTCTTGGTCTGTTACTTGTGTATTTAAGAATACTATCTCTTCTTGTTTTATCTTTGGCAGTTTACTCTTTTTTATATATTCCTGTATGTTCATTGCCTTTTCATTTCCTCTTTTGTATAAATTTTGAAAATATTTTTAAAAGGCTTCCCTTATTTCTGTTGTTTTATTTAGAAATTTCCCATTGGAATGAATTTTACATATATATATATGTAATTTGTCTGTTGATTTCTCCTTAATTGCCATGCTAACAACTTTCCAGGTTTGTTTGCATGCTCAAAGAATTTTGGCTTCATTTTTTTAACTTTCCATGCTATTTCTTCATTGATTAACATTGAATGCTGTGATTGTAATCATTTTCTTGCCTGTTTTATCGATCGTTTATTTGGGTTTGTTCCTAATTTGGGCATCCAAAATTTCTTTTTTCCTTGCTTCCTTGGCTCTTTTTTTTTTTTACTGCATTTTGTTGTATGAAATGACCTCTCATGACTACAGTGGGACCTCAGGTTACATATTGTCAGGGGTTCAGGGAGAGAGGCACAGATGAGGGAGGAGACTGAGAGCGAGGGGGAAGAATCCAGGAACGAGGAGGACAATGACTTGAGGGTTTCCATGAGTCTTTCAAGTGAATCGGAGGATTCCCAAAAGGGGGCGCCCCTGGTCAGGCCAAAGGGAGCCACAGGGGGGACTCGTCAGGAGCAGGGGAGCAGCAGGGAAACCCCGAGTGGGAGTGGGAGATCGGGGCCGGCTTCCCCGCCGGAACGGAGTGAAGAGGGTGGAGTTCCCAGTGTGACACACGGAGCAGAGCAGGAAGCAGAGAGGGGAAGGAGATCGGGGCAAGACGTCCTGCCGGAAGGGGCGGAGACTAGTACAGAGAGTAGTGTAACTGTCAAGAGGAAGGTCAGGGGTAGCGAACGCGCGCCAAGTTCAAATGTGGAGGCGCGCGGAAATGCGGAGAGCCCGGAGGAGGAGCCTGGTCCCAAAGCACGGAGGAGGGGGGAGCAGGCGTCTGGGGACTCAGCGTCAGGGGAAAGCAGGAGGGAAGGAACCCAGGGGGGCAGAAAGACCCTGCGGAAAAGGAAGGACAGGAAGAGGTGGACCAGCACAAGCCTCTTAAACTAGTGTAGAGGCGGGACTGATTCAGAGGGGACTTCAGCGGTCTAAGCGTAACAGACGTGGGGCTGCGCGCCTCTGCTGTGGAACAAACAATGTACTTCAATAAAGACTTTTGTAAATAAAGTGGACTTGGCGTTGGTCTCTTGTGAGCTGGGACCTGAGGCGGCCCTGACACATATGCTCCAGGTTACAGACTCTGCTAACCCAGAAATATTACCTCGGGTTAAGAACTTTACTTCAGGATGAGAACAGAAATTGCACGGCGGCAGCACAGCGGCAGCAGGAGGCCCCATTAGCTAAAGTGGTGCTTCAGGTTAAGAACAGTTTCAGGTTAAGAACGGACCTCCGGAACAAATGAAGTATGTAACCAGAGGTACCACTGTACTTTACAAGCATTCCATACAATTTTGATTTTTGTTTCCTTAGGTAAGAAAGAAACAAGCTTGAAAGACAACGTTCACAAATCAGTCGTGATGATTTGTACAGTGTTTTTGAATTAACAGAACGCCTTGAAGGCTTCATCCATGATATCTCTCTCTCTCCTACAGTGATTGTTGTTATGGGCCTACAGGATATTTCGTCTGAAATTGGGAAAATAATATCACTGAAGACAGATTTACCTATGCTTTTTTCATATGACACAACTTTTCAACTTGGAGACTTCTTCCTATCTACTTTACTATTTCAAAATGTGCTTTTCGCTGAATCACCACTGATTCCTGTAATGTTCAAGATGCATGACAGCAGGCGAGAGGACAATCACAGGAGACCCTTTCAAAGCAGTGTCCATTGCTCAATTCAGAAAAAGTTGTCCTAGTGTCTGACAGAGAAAAAGGAATTGAAAAGGCTTTGGATCATGTTTTGCTCAAGAGCCACAGAGTGGTGTGCTGGAATCACATCCGCAGAGACATCGTGGCCAGTTCAGAGGATACCAAGGTATACCTTGCTGACTTTTTTGATCTTCTGAGGTCAAATTCTGAGCAAGACTACACATTCAAATTTGATTAACTCAGTACAGGTTGGAGCAAAGCATTCTTGGACTACTTTAAGGAAAAACTGCACCAAGCAATAATAACTCATGCTGGGGCCTGGATTCTAAAGAGACTGAACATATATAAAGAAAAATGTGGAATCACCTCAAATGTCTCTGAGAGTTTTCATGCAGCATTAAAAAGACTTTCACAATGGAAAGAAATGACGATGGAAGCAATGGTGTTATCCTTATATGCAATGCAAAATTTTTACTGGAGAGAAACTTTGTGTGGACTATGTAACACTGGAAGCTTGCATTTGCAGCCTCAGTTTATCAGACACTCAAGATCGCCAGAACATACAGTCTTTCCTTATATAGCTTGTGATCCATCACAAATCTTGGATCTTGTACAAAGGGGAGAACTTCCGTGGCCTAAGAAAGATGAAAACTATGAGAAGGCACCATCAGTTTGTCAAATGGTACTAGCGGGCTTTACGGTACTGAACAATTTAATAGCTTGGTGTATTTGTGGTGAGGGGTAGTAAAGGGAAAGCATTATGTTGTCCGCCTTTTTCCGAAAGAGAGCTGCTCTTGCCCATCATCCAGGACTTGCTACCATATTATAGCTGCCAAAAAATCTGTCGGTATGCCACCAGAACCAGGGAAGCCTTGCCGGTTGCAGCTCACACAGTTGAAGCAAAATAAAAGGCAGAAGAGTAGCTCAGGAAGAAAGTTCTCCAGACTGAAGGAGAAGATAACTGTAGTTCCAGCATCTGATTCAGTGCAGGCTGCTGAGGAGTTGGGCTCCTTAAAAACAGATCACTGACTGACTATGAGAGACCTGGAAAGCACTCAACCTCAGATGACCTCCACTCCAAAAAGTGGGAAAGAGGATTTGACAGTGACCAATATTGATTCTTTTGATAGAAGCCCCATATTCTCAACGCAAAGTGAGAAGTGTTTGGGCAAATCAATGATTTCTACATCAGTTCCCCCATGGCACAACTGTACCTTCAACACACTCAGTCTACAAACCGAGTAACTTGTGGGTTCAGTTGCCAACATCTGTGTGTATGGTTATGACATAGACACACTGAAAGGATCAAACTGGATAAATGACCACATAATAGATGCCTTTCTTGCCTCCAGGGTGATCATGACCAAAGAGCTAGGTCACGATGGAACAATTTTCCCATTTAGTTGCCTCTTCATTCAGGAGGAATGGGTGTGGAGTGAACCCACCGCACCCGGCACCACCGGGTGTGACTGTTCAGTAAATGTTTAAATTATAGTTTTTAAATATCGAACCCAAGCTCTGACTTTCTCAGTTCTCCTATCATCTGTGTGTATCCTGCTAGTTCTATCCATTTCTCCTTTCTTTTTTTAAAAAATATATTTATTGAAGTTTCAACATTTTACAAAAAAAAGAAAAGAAAAAAAAGAAAAAAGAAAAATACAAAGTAAAAACAGTTAAAAACAGATCAGTTTTTCCAAATCTTATCTTTCATTTGCTCGTTTCCCTGACCTCCTCACACCTCCCTTTTTTGTATTCCAGTTCAATTAGTTAATTCAGCAAATCCTTTCCCTCTTTGATTTTATCTTAATCTTTTATCTTAATATATTATAGCCTTATATTATCACCTGTTCACAAACCATTTTACATATTCCTTTATAACATTGCTACTAAAAACCGCTTAACTTCAATCCAACATCATTCTAACATTCATTGATTTTGCAGTGTTTCTGTAAATAGTCTTTAAATTTCTTCCAATCTTCTTCCACCGACTCTTCTCCCTGGTCTCGGATTCTGCCGGTCATTTCCATATCCATTTCTCCTTTCTCTTGGCACAAATGTATATAAAATTATACAGGAAAATGTTAAATGATCAGCTTTAATTCAGTGTCTCTGTCTCTACCTTTCTGTGCAATTGTTCAGAAATGTCACTAAGAAAGCTCTATATATTGGCATGGTCTCTTTTATTGGAATAATTTCCCAAAGTTAATTTTAAACGGGTACATAAGACCAGTGGGCCTGAATTTTTGTCCCAATAATATTTTTTTCCTGTGGCCATCACCAAATCTTCATGCAGTTAACTCCACAGTTTAATCTCTCATGGAATAAAGTGGTTTTTCCTTTCGCTGGGTGCCCCTGAGGTCAGTATTTTGGGAGAGTGACGAAAAGTTCTCTCTAACCACTTTATCTTATTTAATTTTCTAACCTCTGTCGTGTTTGCTACCCTCTTATATAGACCTTTAATAGACTGAACATCTCCAAACCCTTCAGCCTTTTCTCAAAGGAAAAGCACTGTACCCCCTTAATCATTTGGTTGCCCAATTCTAGATGTAAGAGCAATCTGGTTGCCACATCTATCACCCTGTTGATCACCAGGATTGATCTGGCTGATCAGACTGGCAAGGAATGTGTCTGCCATCCCCATCACTGTGCACCCCCCCCCAAAGCCACACACTCCATGTAAGAGAATGACCATCCCACACAGAGCGAGAACACCCTCTTCTGCACTTTTTCCAGATATGCCATATTCATTTTAGAGAGATGGCACCCAAAACTGTACACAGTATTCCAAATGGGACCACACTATAGAACTGTACAGGGACATTACAATACTGACCATTTCATTTTCAGTTCCTTTTTCAATAGTCTCCAGCACTAATTCCAGATCACAAAATGAATAAATGAAATAATAGCGGTTCTGATCCTTGTGGGACCCAACTGCTCACTTTCTTTAACTTTTAACATGGCCTTGGCGATTGGAAAAGCCACAGCACCCAGGAGATCCTCTGAAAGCCCAAGTTGCCCCAACTTTGTGCAAAACAGTTGTAGCCCTGGAGAAGGGAAGGGAAGGGGTCTGACAAAACTTTGCTAAGTAAAGTATATTTGTCTGCTGAAAAACAAATGTTTAGCCAGCATAAAAGAAAACTCGTCCAGGCAACTGTCTCTAGCTTCTGTTGGCTTCCCTCTAGACACAACAAGGCTGCATAAGGTACACAGTGTGGGACAGCGAAAATCTTCAACAGAAAGGCTGCCTGCACTTGTTCCACTGACTGGGTAAACCCTGACATCCAGACTGAAATTCCATAGAACAGTTTGGCTCTAACTTTAGCATTAAAAACTTTGAGGGCAGAAGGGATGTGTTGGTTACCTCTTGTTGCAAAAAAGTGCAATATGGCCTGCATAAACAGCTGGCTGGCATTTACCGCCCTTGCGCAGTGCGAGGAACACCGGAGCCTGTGATGGAAAGTGATCCCCAAACAGTTGAATCTGAATACCTGCTGGATATGTTTCCCACCAAAAACCCAACTATATATCTTACGAGAATTCCCGAAGACCATTATTTTGCTTTTATTGAAGTTCATGCTCATTTTCATTCTAGACAAATAGTAGATACAGGCATTTAGCAAACGCTTTAAGCCAATTCTAGTTCATGAGAGCACAATCATATCATCTGCATATAGAAGGATGGTAATTTTTGATACATTTAGTTTACGGCTGTGAGCATCCACCAGTTTTAGTAATGGGGCGAGTTCATTTAAGCACAGTGGACCAACACCAGCTGATGGCATGGCTCCTCAAATCAACATTTCACACTGGACTTCAAGCATCTGGCAATGTGTGCCTCCCCATTCTTCCTCCAGATTCTGGGTCCTTGGTTTCCAAATGAGATGGAAAAGTTGCTCCTATCAGAAAAGAGGACATGGGACCACTGAGCAACAGACCAGTTCTTTTTTTTCTTTAGCCCAGGCAAGATGCTTCTGACGTTGTTTCTTGTTCAGGAGCAGCTTGACAAGAAGAATACATTTGAAGCCCATCTGCAGGATCCATCTGTGTATGGTGGCTCTTGATGCACTAACTCCAGCCTCAGTCCACTCCTTGTGAAAGTCCCCAGCATGTTTGAATGGTCTTTTCCTGACAATCCTCTCCAGGCTGTGGTCATCCCTGCTGCTTGTGCAACTTTTTCTTCCACACTTTCCCCTTCCGCATAACTTTCCATTAATGTGCTTCGATACAGCACTTTGGGAACATCCAACTTCTTCTGCAATTACCCTTTGAGACCTTCCCTCCTTATGGAGGGTCTCAATGACGGCTTTCTGCACAACTGTCAGGTCAGCAGCCTTCCCCATGATTGTGCTTCCTACTGAACCCGTTGCAGATGTTATGGATTGAATAGCTGCACCTTTTCACAATATTTTAATTTTCTGAGATTGTTAATTTGAGTTTTTTATCAGCTGTACCCTATAATCATCACAATTATAACAAATAAAGGATTGACATATCTCGCTTTGTATGTCATGAGTCTATCTCATATATTAGTTTCACCTTTTAAGTTGAATTACTGAAATAAATTAACTTTTCCACGATAATCTAATTTTCCAAGTTTCACCTGTACATATTTTGTTCCCTATGGCAAGGAGTGCTAGGATGGGAAGCATCCATGTAATCCACCTTCTCTGAGACACACACCAGTGATGCATCAGAGGAGCACTTTGCGCTTCACTTAGTTCTTAAGGGAGAGAGAGAGAGAGAGAGAGAGAGAGAGAGAGAGGTTGCATTGGAAGTAAGCAGGGACACCGCAGGGGCTTGAACCCCGTCCTGGAAACCAGGAGCGCCAACCACCAGCGTCTTTTGCTTTTTTTTGGCCAATGCAACAAGGTGAAAAGCAAAACCTGAGAGAACACTCTGAATACAGAATGTTCTCTCAGGAAAAAAGAAAACCCTTAAGAATTATGAAGCTGCAGACAGAACACAATCGAGGTTTTATCCGATATTCACCTAGATGTGTTTAAGTCACAGAGTGCCATGTTGACTGCCATTAATTTGCAGGGCAGAACAGAGAGACTGGTTCCAGTCTCCAAACTCTGCCTTTATGCTCACCTTTTTGTTTGTCCCTCTGAAGTGTGAATTCATGGGCCTGGAAGTTCCTTCTGCTGGTCTGTGAAAAGCAATTTGGACTCATTACTTTGTCCCCGGCCCATTCCCACCAATTCCAGAGAAATGTTTTTGGAACCCAGCTGTTCTGACTGACCTGACTTCTGCAGGAAGAGCTGGCTTCCCCTGAGTGTGGTGGGCTCTTGGACAGAACTGTGAAGAGATCAAGCGGGGGGAAATGGAGAAGCCAGCCCAAAAGGATTGTACTGAAAAAGATCACTGAATTGTAGAATGTGAAGTTCACTTGCCGTTAAGTTTCCTGAAGGCTTGCAAAATTCTATTTCTTGTGTCACTGAGATGCACCTGGAAGAGACTAGGGTCTTCAGCAGCCCTCCCCTCCAGACACAGGAGCAAAAACAGCCGGTTACCCAGAGCAGCGCAGTCAAGACGCAGGTGTCTCTCAATCCTGCACTGCAGATGTTCACCTGATGGATCAAAAGCTCTGACACTGCCTTTTGTCAATGGAGCAGATCTGCCTCCGGCACAGGTAGCTCTCTGAGGTCTGTAAAAAAAAAAGCTGGAACCAAACAAGGATGGCCGTCCCACCAAAAGATGTACCTTATTGTGTGGTGATGGCACAGGAAAGGGCCTCCCCTGCAGTGGTGTCCCGACAAGAGAAGTCCCTCCAGGTAGAAGCACGCAGAGTGACTGCATTAGGCTTTCGAGTTTGCAGCTCTTCTGAAACAGGGATTGAATAACCAATGTTGCTCAATACAAGCTCTTTGGAATATTTAGTTTGCATATTTGATGTATGATTCCACTTAGAGCCTACCTTTTCTCCAACAGGCTCAGGGTGCTTGAATGGTCCCCCTCACTGCGACCTGAAAGAATCTTTGTACAAAGAGTTGCAGGCAGAACACAAAAGAGATTTTCCCCTCAGCCAAGCACAAGATACTCACCTTCAGCCAGAAGACACACAACTTTATTGCTGCTATGATTACGATAGAGCATATAGAGATTACTTGTTAGTTATTAGTGCCACCTCTGATAATTCAAATGTTTTATTAACAGAAGCTACGATTGCAGCTGAAGGTAACCAAGTGAGAGGTTACAGGCAATAAGCAGTTCACTACAGCAGGTTTAAAAATTTATTACCTTTGGAACAGAAGTACTGGTGAGGATCCTGATTTTTGTATTTGTTGGAAACCCAGCAACTACCAACCCTATTCTGCAAGTTTTCACAAAAAAGCCAGTAATACCATCTGGGTCAAATTAAATTTCGAATAGTCTCAGCATTTATGGATCATGTTCCCTGCATTAAACAATCATACATGTACCCCAGGCAAAGAAAATTGGGAGCTACATGCCTCCTTTATCTACAGGATTGAAGGGTACAGACCTCTATTCCAAAATGTTTCACAAATGTGGGTTAATATGATTTTGTGTGGCCCCGCTCTGGTCATTAGTGGAACAATCAGCCACCCCCTTATGTATGAGTAAAAATGGCCAGAGAGTCGGGATTCATAAGATTTCAAATATTTTCTCAGTCATTTCAGCCTTACCATTAGCAGAAAAAAATTCTGCCCTTTATGTACAGGAAAAAATGGTCACGGCTCATCCTTCCTAATTGTGAATATGTTTGTGCTTAAATGTTTGCTGGACTTTTTTTGCTTAAAAATGGCTGGCAAAATGGTGAAAACCTCTACTCACTCCAAGGCCTCTACCAGGCCACCTCTCCCATTGCCATCAGTAGATTCACCCTCAAAATGCCTTAGTTACAGATAGGTAGCCGTGTTGGTCTGCCATAGTCAAAACAAAAAAAATTCCTTCCAGTAGCACCTTAAAGACCAACTAAGTTAGTTCTTGGTATGAGCTTTCGTGTGCATGCACACTTCTTCAAAATGCCTTATTTGCTTTTTCACACTGAAATCAGCAAGGCAACTGTTACAGACAAAAGAAGCAGTTTGATGCATCAGCTTTTAAAATGGGTATTCTAAATACCTAAATACCCCTGGGAACAGAATTACTGGCGAGGATGCAAAATGCTGGCATGTTTGGAACCTTCTGGATTTATACACTTCGGAAGGAACAAAAACTCAACAATATTTTGGTGACCCTCTTCTGCAGTTGCCCAGTAAGTACAATTTGTTTGGCTTCATATGCCAAATGCCATAACTTTCAAGCCTGCTGCTCAAGAGGGTTTGTTATTCTACTCCTGGGAAGCCACATTATAAATGAAAGGAAGTTCTTCCCATTAGTGAAGGAGCTTATCTCTAGTCCCCACTAAGCTACCACAAAATGGCTGCAAAGCATTTTTGTCAACAAGGCAATCTGAGCTAAAATGACATTAAATGGAACTGTGTTGTCTTCTGCGCCTCTGCTTTGCTCTTTATCGCATGCACAGCTTTCTTTCCCTCTGGATCCCCCTAGATCCCCCTACCCTTCTCACTTCTAAGTCTTACCTGTGTTAAAATCTTACCCGTCTTGGTTTTTCCAACTTCTGGAGTGAGGTTCTGGAGCGAGTGGTTGCAGACCAGATCCAGGTGCTCTTGGAAGAAGCTGGTTTTCTGGGTCCATTTCCATCAGGGTTTAGGCTTGCCTTTGGCACGGAAACGGCCTTGGTCGCCCTGCACCTCTGTCAAGAGACAAGGGAAGGCGCTCAGTGACCCCCAGTGCCCTCCATCAGCTTCAGCTGGTGGCCCAGTTGCGCCCCTCTCTGGACAGGGGTAGCCTGACTCCTGCTGTCTCTGCTCTGGAAACCCGTTCTTGGGTCGTTCTTTTTGTTTCGATTTGGTGCATTTGATATTTTATGTGAACCGCCCTTAGACCTTCGGGTATAGCGGCAGTATAGAAATTCAATAAATAGTAACAACAGTAATGATAATAATAACTTCGGCAACAGAAATGCCAGCCTTCTTTTTATGAAATGGCTTCTCCAGTTGCCTTTTAAAAGAAAAGCCTTCTATTTTCTGCAATTATTCTTCACTCTGCTTGAAGCAGACTTCATCTCCACCCACCCTTTCCTCTGCTCCTTTGTACATCCAAAGACTTGTTGGTCGAAAGGAAATAAACTTGATTTTGCCCCTCACATTCCTTCATGTATCTTCATTTTCCCTTGGCCTTTCTAGTCATCAGGTGTATCTGCTTTTCTTGATTCTCTTTAAAATCTTCATCTTGGTGTTTTCTATGAGTTTTCAGTTTTCAGTTTAAATTTTTCTTGGCTAAGCTTTCTTTTGGGGGCTTTCTCAAAGTCTAGCATCTGTCCAGAATTTACTCTCCCTGTTTTACTATGATTAATTCTTTGTTGGTCTTCTTATTTTCTTTGTTTCCTTTAAATTTAAAATGTATTGCGTCTCCTAACACTTTTTAGGGAGTTACTGAATCTATTTAGCTTCTGTCTGTCTGTCTATCTTTCTATCATCTACAAGCAACATTTTAAACTGCCAACTATGGAGATCACAAGGGAAAATTTGTTGTATCCCTTTTTAAAGTTGTAAATAACAACTTCAGTGAGACTTCAGCTCTGACCAGTAAGAGGGCAAAAACCAGTATTACTGCCAGGGACAGTCTCACTCACTAGATTCTGGCTCGCTCCTTCCACCACCTGTTGGTCATAAGGACACATAAAATAGTCCCTTGGCGCATTAATACAGGGGATACCAATGGGTTTGTTTTCAACATGGGATCACTGCGCATGGGGGAGAAATTAGTGCCGGCCCCACTCCCTAATAACAGGGTTGCTGGGGGGCCAACTTGAATAAAATATGGGGGGGCGGTAAGCCCTGCCCTACATAGTCACATGACACACCACACACAATTAAATGGCAATGGCCATCAACAGTTTTTTGGGGGGGTTCCCGGCCCCCTAAAAATTTTGGGGGGTTATGGGCTTAAGAGGAGTTAGCTCCTAAGCCAGGGTATGTCTCATTCCTGGATCCATGTCTTTGTTTGCTTGGCTATGTGTAGAATCTGCTGTGCCTTTTAAGGACATTTTGCCCAAGTATCGCACTGATCTGAACATTAAAGATTTTGGTAGACACTGCAGCCTGAGTTTGAATTCTTCTTTGAGTGACAGGCAGGAAACTCTCCTCCACAGTGTGCCTTTTTGGAGGTTCTCCTTGGGGGAGGGGCCCCAGGGCCCCCAAAATGCATAGCCTATCGCTTTAAGAAAATGCTTTAAGAAAATGCTAAGAAATTTAAAGCTGTCTACCCCCCCCTCTCTATCTACAAGCAACATTTAAAATTGTCTACTATGGAGATCACAAGGGAAAATTTGTAGCATCTCGTTTTAAAGTTGTAAATCCCAACTTCAGCTCTGACCAGTGACAGAGCTAAAACCAGTATTACTGCCAGGGACAGTCAGCGGCGGAGGAAGCCGCTTGGGCACCTGGGGAGCAAGCTGCCCATAGGGGCAGGGCGAGGGTGGGGCAAGCCATCCATGGGGCAGGGCGCACTGTGGGGCCTCCAGAGTCTGCCTGCCTCCTCCCACTCAGTCACCCTTCAGCTGGGGGGGGGGAGGCAGTGGGCAAAGTGTTTGGAAAGCGCAGGGCCTTGGGCCCACTGCAGGCCCCGTGGGGAGTGCCGCCCGGCATTTTGTCACCCCCCTCAGTGGGGACACCTATAGCACCGCCCTTCCTTCGCCCCTGGTTGCAGGTGGTGTGGCTGGGGGTTCGGGGGAGAACTGCCCCCCAATCAAGTACAGTGGTACCTGGGGTTAAGAACTTAATTCGTTCCAGAGGTCTGTTCTTAACCTGAAACTGTTCTTAACCTGAAGCACCACTTTAGCTAATGGGGCCTCCTGCTGCTGCCACCACACAATTTCTGTTCTCATCCTGAGGTAAAGTTCTTAGCCTGAGGTAATATATCTGGGGTAGCGGAGTCTGTAACATGAAGCGTATGCAACCTGAAGCATATGTAACCCGAGGTACCACTGTAAATAAAAATATTTAACTGACCAATTGTGTTGCAGGTGACTCAATTCTGCCCCCCCCCCAGTTGCCATGTGTCCTCTTATTCCAGGACACATCCTCTTTTTCAGGGGTAACATTTTTAAAATTTGCCATAATGTCTCTGGCTATACTTTCTGGATGAGTCCTAGACAAGACTGGTGACTGAAGACTTGCTTTCCTCATCTTTTCTCTCCTCCTCCCCCCCCCCCCCAGCAATATATCACAGCTTCTATAGCCTACATATACTAAGGGTATTTAAAATGAGAATTGTCTTGAGGTCCTCTTTTTTGCTCTTTGAAATGTGGCAACCCTAACTTGCCCTACCCCCTAAAATAAATCCTGGCAACACCCATGGCAGGTGGTCATAGCGACAGTGCCAATTTGTTGATATAATCAATGAACTTAGAAATTTCTCCTTTTTGCCCTGCCCATTTATCTTCACTCTGCTGTGTTGATTCAAACTCCCAGATTGTGCCATTTCCCATACCTGGGTAAAACCAAGATCGTAAAGCGAGGGCCTCCCCCCATTACCCACCTGACAGCTATTTCCATTTTGGCAGTGGCTGTCAAAAGAGACCATGGTCAAAGAAGTAATATTGGGTTTCAGATCCCCCCCCCCTGCAAGTACCAAAAAATGTGAGCCACAGATCCCTGTTTAGTTTATAACCAATTATGTTGATTTCAGGATTTATTTATTTGTTTGTTTGTTTGTTTTGCCAAAATGGGACACAAATGTTTTTGCACTATTTTTCCCCTACCAGGATGGGGCTTTACAAATGGAGAGACAAGTAACCAATTATTTTTGTTTCCTCTTCTTGGCAGGCCTAGTCACACAACATGTGCATGGTTGCTTCTTAATGCAGGAGCCGGGAAGCTGTGACCCTCCAGACGCTGAAAGCCATTGGAAGCATGATAAAAGTCCAGTCTGTGGTGTCCATTCACAGGTGAAACTTATTGCTGGGCATTGCAGTGATCTGGTGATGAATATTTGTGTGTGTACCAGCCCTGAAAGCAAACTACAAAGCTAAGTACATTTTTCTGCACTAGTTATTTCTGAAACGGTCTTCAAGGACCGCCCCACTTACAGCGCATGGCAGTAATCCCACTCTGGAGGTTACCAGAGCATGGATAACTGGGCAAGACTATCCTGGTTCAGGAACAGCAATGGCTGGCAAGAAGCGCTCTTGGGTCTTTTTACACAAGCACAAACCCAGGTTTCAGCAGGTGTGCCTTCAAGAGGGAGCTGCAAGCTACAAGTGTAATTTACGACAAATGCCAAACAGAAATCCAACAGGTGAAGCTTTCACCAGAATGCAAAGGTGGTGACCGAGGTGGGGAAGTTTTGCTTGCTGTTTAAAAGGAACCTGCCAAAAAGAAAGGAAAAAAAGGCAAATATTGCTATATAAATAGGACTTTAAGGCCATGCCATCCGTTTTCGCTCCTCTGCCACTTGGCAGCTATTAGCTGCTTTCCCCCTGGTGGCAAGAGAGACAGAGAGACGCAGCAATGGGGATGGGGAACCTGTTTCTGTCCAGGTGCTGCAAGGACTAAAACTCCCTTTATCCCTGACCCTCGGCCATCCTGAATGGGACAGAAGAGAACTGGAGTCCAGCAACACCTGTAGAAACACTCTGATTAAGATTTTGCTTGTGTTTGTGTAATTGATTAATCAATATGGTGAGCCGGCTCAAATATACTTAATCAGTTAACACATGCAGACTAAAAGTAAAGCACACTGGACAATTTATTAGAGCACCAGAATCTATGTACTTTGTCTTATATCAAGGCAGTCCCAGGCTTGCCTGCTTCTCAGCACACAAAATCTATCAATGTCCAAGAGTATGTCCAGAACACAAAGCAACATCTTGGCTCTAAGGATGGCATGTTCAGCGCCTCCTCTGACATCAGTAGCCCATGGGCAAGTCCAGAGTCCAGCCAAGATTATTGGGAAGCTTCCTGTTGCAACCATCTATCAAGCCACAGGAGGCCCAAACAGGTCCATCGTTTCCACCACCAAGCAGAGATGCTCCAGGAAGGAGCTGATGGACACACGCAGAATCCGGGCTTCATCCGCTCTCCATCGACTGCAAAAAAATAATATATATATATATATTGTGCAGACTGGAACATAAAATGTCAACACTTGCACTACACTTAAGAGTCCAATGAACATGCCACTCCTTCTGCCAATATCCTCATTCTATTCCAGACCTTCAGCTTCCCTTTTACTCTTGGCAGACACTGGGCACCTGGTCCAATACATTTGGATGCCAGAAAATATACTGTCTCACTTTATTATTATTATAGCACTACCTGAATGCAAAGTACAGAACAGAGAGGAAGGGAGGAATTATTCTTATTATCCTCCACCTCCATATAGTATCATCAGCTTGTATAGGACTTTACAGAAAATACGAGGGGATAGATCTCTGTCCTGAGAGGCTTACAGTTTAAAATTTGGCACCACAGAGAAAGGAAAGGGACGTGGGGGCAGCGAAGGAGGCGATGATTTGACTGACAAATGCTGAGCTTTAGTCAGAGGCTTGGCTGCTGCAGTGTCCCTGCTCCAAGGGCTTCATGGGAAAGGTGATAGGAGCGAGGGCTTGAAGGAAATAAGCGAGGAGGGTGCATGGAGAGGTTCTGAGAAGTGGTACCAGGCATATGGGGCACCAGGGAGGAAAAGGCAGAGTTGTTTCGAGGAACAGAAGACGTCTAGACGTTGAGGAGCAAAGATCACAGGCAGAGACATATCTGGATACAAGAATGCTGTCCTAAGGATGGGAGAGCATGGCCACAAAGGGCTCTGAAGGCAAGAGCAAGGCGTTTGTGATGCATCCGAGGGATGAGCATCATGTTATGGGAGTGGTGTGAGAGATGAATGATTTTGGCAGCTAAGTCAGCAAGGGGAGACAACAGAAGGTCGGGGTGCAGAAGGGCCCCAGCTCAGTGGGAGAGCAGCCACTTTGCATGCAGATGGTCAATCCCTGGTAGGTCTGGGAGCTACGCCTGTCTGTCCCCCTGAAAAACTGTAGATGGTGCTAACTGGATGGTAGGCAGATTCCTACGTCGCCAGGAAGTTGTCCTGTGTGCAGAAGCACAAGGATCCAAATGCAGGTCTTGCTCAGCACACCACTTTCTTTTACTTGCACCCCACTCTGCCTCCACATTATGCTCAAAACAGCCCTGCAGGATAGGTCAGGCCAAGAAACAGACTCATTCAAAAGGGTTCAGCTCCAAGGGCCTCCTGGCAGTTCCCTCCTGTGAGAAATGAGGTTACAGAGATCCGGGCAGAGGGCCTCCTTGGTGGTGGCACCTGCCCTGTGGAACGTCCTCCCATCAGATGTCAAGGAGATAAATAACTACAGGTATACAACTTTTAGAAGACATCTAAAAGCAGCCCTGTATAGGGAAGTTTTAAATGTTTTATGTTTTTATATTTATTGGAAGCTGCCCAGAGTGGCTGGGGCAACCTGGTCAGATGGGCAGGGTACAAAAAATAAAACTGTTGTTGTTGTTTAAACCCTGATTGAAGTCCAACATGCCATCCATTACGGTGCCACCTTGTCTCTCATCCTCCTGCAGCTTGTGCAGGAGACCTTCCAGCAGGCTGCACACCCAGGACTCAGAGCCCACCATCTGCCCCGACTGCCGCCACACCTTGCCTCTTGTAGAAGGGGGCGCCCGGCCAATACTCACACATGCAATATGTCCTCCGTCACATCCAGTTCCTTGCTGATCCCTTCTTTGCGGGGCTCAGGGTCAGGGGCCAGGGAGCCCAGCGCAATCTGGGCCAATGATGATGATGGGAAAGGGATCTTCAACTCACTGATGTTGGGGGTAGCGATAAGGAGCATAAAAGGTACAATAACACCCCCCCACAGGCACACACTGCTCACCTTTCCAACAAGAGACACTCTCTCTTATTCAAAGTCACCTTTGTATTCTTAAGTTTAATATTTCTGGGAGAGCTTCTAGTCCCTGGTTTTTGACTGCGGAGCTCTGACACGGATTAGAATCCCTGCTTCTCCATGACTGTGGATGGGAGAAAACTCAAGACCAATGTTCAAATTGCAGGGTGGAGGGTAGAGGGGGCCACTTTTGTGCCGATCTCTTTCGCTTACTATTTTTAGAGGGGGGTTTTGCATCAGGGAAGCAGGGGGAGATGTGTTATAACTAGAAGAGGAGGGGGCCCAGGGCATGTGGATTTCATTCAAGGCCTTCCTACCTCTTTCCCTTCACCCCTCTCAGTCACCATTCTGTCCTATTTGCAGCTAGGGGTCAAAACGCATTAAAGGGCAACTTATCCCCATTTCTCTCCCCAAAGAATCCTGGGCACTGCAGCTTACCCCTCACAAAGCTACAAAGTGCCCCTAATACTTTGCGGGTGAAACCCTAGCAACCCACCACCTTGATATCCCAGCAGCTCTGGAAATGCAACTTAGCACACGTGCAATTCATTCAAATGCATGTGGTGGGTCTGCGCTTAGAGTCCCTTCAGCAACACCCTGGCAAGTGACCAGGGACTCCGGCCCCCTGCCCCCCCCCCAGCAAGAGTGCCCAACCTGCCGGATCCTAATCGCACTTCTCAACTGAACCTACAGCCCAGGACCCGTTTCTATTTTATTTTTACGGCGCACATCCGTGTTTCAGTTGCAGGACTGGGCGAGGCTTTTGCGCTTCTGGCACCACAAAGGCGGGTATTTGGGCAGGAGCTTAACTCCCCTTTCGATGTGCAACCGGGGAAACCCATTTCAAGCGCCTTTGCCCCTCCCGCTTCCTCCAGGCAGGATGAGGCCGCACCGAGGCAGCCGGGGGCCTGATCCCCCCCCCTCGCCCCGCGATCCCGGCGCTGTCCTCTCCCCCCCCCCAACCTAGTCCGGGAAACTACTGTCCCCCCGAGGAAAGGAGGCCCCAGCAGGAATGCCCGCCCCTCTTGGAAACAAGGAATGGGGGGGGGGACCGCGATGCCTCCCTCCAAGGGACCCAGGCGTCCGAGAGCCCAGCCCGCCCCCTCCTCCGCGGGCGCAATGCTGCTGCTTTTCCGCCGGATACAAGGCGAGGCCTGGCCGGGACACAGCGCTCCCTCCGGCCGCCGCCGCCGCCGCTCCTTCCATCGCCGCCGCCGCCGCCTCCCCCTCCTCCCCGGGGGTGCCGAGGGTGGATCCCAGGGAGCGGCCAGCCCACGTGGGGGGATCCTTCGGAATCCACCCGCCTTAGCTGCAGCAGCGTCGGAGAAGAGGTGGCGGGGAGCAACAGGCGCTTATGAATGTTAGAGGCAAATATACCCAATGTGTGCAGGGTTGGGAGCATAGCTTGCCAATTGGCCAATCACTTTTGGTATAAAGTACAGCAATCCCGCCATTTGCGTACATTTAATTTGCACACTTTCAGCTTTCTACGCTCATCAGTTGTTGTTTAATTGAAAAAAGGGTTTGAAAGGATCTGGGGGGAAAGACTTTGGCAATCTGGCACACCATTCCACCCAGTGTGTTTTGACTACAGGTGATTTTGGCTTTAGGTGCGATTCCTAGAATGCAAGACCCAGGTAAGTTGCGGGCTTTCTGGTCCACGTAATCAGAGCCGGCCCACTGAGGAGACAGGGCAAAGCACCCACTTCAGGCGGCGAAAAAGCAAGAGGCAGCGCTCTGCCCACCCCTTCTGCCACCTTGTGGAAGGCTCCCTCCTCCGGCTGAGCTGGGCAAGGGGGGAGTCCTCCTTTTTTCTTTTTTTAAATTTGTTTCTATTCAAAATTATAACAAGACATATTATCCAAAAACATATCATCCCCCGCATTTTCTTAAAGCGATAGGCTATCCATTTTGGGGGCCCTGGGGCCCCTCCCCCAAGGAGAACCTCCAAAAAAGCACACTGTGGAGGAGTGTTTCCTGCCTGTCATTCAAAGAAGAATTCAAACTCAGGCTGCAGTGTCTACCAAAATTTGAACAGACAAGTAACCAGTCATTTTTGTTTCCTCTTCTTGACAGGCCTATTCACACAACATGTGCATGGTTGGTCCTTAATGCAGGAGCCGGGAAGCTGTGACCCTCCAGACGCTGGAAGCCAACTCCCATCATCAGCCCCAGGCAGCAGGGATGAGGGAAGCTGTAGGCCAACAACAACAACTCACACCTCATAATACTGTGGTTTTGTTCCCACAATGTTCGTCACTAGACACTGTAACATGAGAGGATGAATTGCTTGTGTGAATCAGCTGTCTTAGGTTTAAGTTCATATACAGTGGTGCCCCGCAAGACGAACGCCTCGCAAGGCGGAAAACCCGCTAGACGAAAGGGTTTTCCGTTTTGGAGGCGCTTCGCAAAACGAATTTCCCTATGGGGTTGCTTCGCAAGACGAAAAAATATTGCGCGTCCCCGCGGTTTTTTTTCGCTTCCCCCCCCCCTTTTCCTAAGCCGCTAAGCCGCCTATCAGCTGTTCCGCTGATAACCCGCTTAACAGCTGATCGCGAAAAGCCGCTAGACCGCTGTAGCGCTAATCCGCTAAGCTGTCAATAGGCTTGCTTCGCAAGATGAAAAAACCGCTAGACGAAGAAAATCGCGGAATGGATTCTTTTCGTCTTGCGAGGCACCACTGTATGAGACATGCGAAAACAAAGGAAAGACCGTAATTCTGTGAGCAGGGCCTGCATTGTTTTAGAAAATGTTAGAGAGAAAACATTAGACACTTTATAATTAAAATAAAAACCCTCTCCATAATTTCGTTTCTCTGCATTTACCTGCTGAATGTGCAAACAGATTTCATTGAGGGGAAACAATATTGCATTTGAAGCATGGTAAAAGTCCAGTCTGTGGTGTCCATTCACAGGTGAAACTTATTGATGGGTGTTGCAGTGATCTGGTGATGAATATTTGTGTGTGTACCAGCCCTGAAAGCAAACTACAAAACTAAATACTTGTTTCAGGAGTCAAGTCCCCACCACATGAACCTAGACATGCTAACATCTTCTTTTGGACTGATACTGTGGAAATATGGGGGCTTTTCTGTTTTGTCAAAACTTGCTTTTTACGGATTTCACCTGAAACAAACAAATATGCTACCACTTGCTCTGAGACCTGGGGAAAGGACACAATATAAATAAAACATCATCAGTTTACATAGCAATGTGCTATCTTTGTTTCTAACCGGAATGCACCTTCCTTCAAATGCCATCTGTTGTTTTCCCCTTTGGGCCCAAACTATCTATAACTCTGTGCCTTGGTTTATTTTCTGTATTACAAAAAACGCTTCCCGGCATGTTGGGAGATGTGCCAAGTCGTTTCTCATCATCAGGACTCTTTGAACCAATGGGGATGGCAACAGAATTGCCACCACGTCCTGAGCTTTTGACAGCTGTACAGCAGGCAGCAATCCAACAGTGTTTGCTGGCATAGGGATGTGCCAGTGAAGAAAACAGTGTTTGTCTGAATTTATGCATGGCATGTAGTAGTTAAGGAAGAGGATGGTTGGCAGCATTAGGTGGCACGAGAACTGGCATATCTTTAGTTCAGCATCAGATTCATAATGGGCATGTTAAAGTTATGACAATGACTTACATATCATTCCTAACTGTATACTCAGTTCACACATGTATGTACATCAGTGGTGGGTAACTCAAGCTCTCAAGCTCTCTGCAGCTGAAGATATAAGCTGACTGCTCACCTCTATTGAAAGCATTGTGGTGATATGCAAGTTCTGGTTGCATTCTTATTTCTTCTCATACATGCAAGTTATGACGGGATGCGGTAGTGCTCAAATAGTAAACACGTATGCCCCAGCTTTTGAGGCCTTACAGCAGAATGCATGGATGACTACAGGAAAAATGGTTTCGTCTGTGATTATCTGCCTGCGACAGCTCTTCACATGTAATCACTAATCCATACTGCATTGGTCACATTTACATTGTACACTTAAGGCACTACCATAACAAGTCTTACTAGGAACTGTAATCTGTTAAGGGTGCTGAGAATTGTTAGGAAACCCTGCCCTGAGCTAGAGTCCAGTGCCCTTAACAAATTCCCAGTTCCCAGGATTGTTTGGGGGAAAGCTATGACTGTTGAAGTGCTTTAAATGCTTGCAAATAATTATGTTCTGCCTGTAGAGTTTGATCTGTGAGGATGCAGACACATACCCAACGCTACAATTCTATTATTCTATCCTGTATGCAAGTTCACAGTGGATGCCACAGAGGTAAACATTCAGATGCCAACCTGTACTTGGAGGCTCCATTGATTATTGTGAAACTTGCTTTTCAGTAAATGAGTTTCCAGGAGAAATCTGCTTGCCTCCTTGGCTCATATAGTCAGTGATATGTTATCCTTGTAATATGTGTATGCAGTGCTCCCCCCCCCAAAAAAAAATGTTTAGGGGTACTCTCATTTTGACTCAAGAAAATCACCATTTTATAGTTCAAATCAGGGAAAAGAAATACAGTAAATGGACAAAAGTACAAAGATTCACAAAATGTTTAGGGGTATGTGTATCCCCAGAAAAAAGCGCTGTGTGTATGCAAAACACACAAAAAGTACAATCAGAAGGAAGCATGTGTTTGCTATATTTCTGCCTTTAATCATTTTCATTGGAGAAAATGGAGTTGCCCGCTCAGCTTTGGGTACATAATGCTGCATACCATTTGAAGTTTTTCGTTTATTCCTTAAGCTGTGTGGGCTGGGCTAGAAGTTTCGTTTTCAGAGCTCACTGTTGTAAAACGAAAGCCAAGGTTTTCAGTATTCAAAGCAGCTTGCAAAAAAAATGGGTTTTTTGGTGTAGGTGCTATAGCTTTCCCTTCCATTTGGATCCTCAACAAGGAAGAAAATTCCATTCACTTCCTCTGCAGCCAGGGCATTTCATTCACTTGAAGAGCACACATTTAATTGTGGAGGGTTCCCTGTTCAGAATTTCCCAGGCCCCAGAATTCCCTTTCTCCCCAACACTCAGCTGGCATTTCGTGGCCCCTGGGCAGGCTGAATCCTCTTTGACCTGTTTGGGGGATTTCCCCCTTTCTATTTGGGTTTTCTCTCTGCGTTTTAATTTCTCTGTATGTGATAGACATGCTTGTCCTCAACGCCAGGTACAATCATTTCATTTCTCCACTTACGCCACTGGGCAGTTCTCGCATCCGTTCCTCCCTGGGGAAATTTGTAAATAGCATCTCAGTGTGAATCAGGAACTGACCTTTCCAGACAATGAGATGGTGCTCTCTGAACTTTTTATGACTGTGTCTCTTTCTCCCCCCACCCTCATCCATGCCACTCTATTCTATTTCCCCCTCTCCCCACACTGGCTTTCAGCTCCTCCAACAATCAATCAGTCCTATGTGGCCACAGAGCATGCTCAGTCCTATGGTTCTGGATTCTCTAGCCTTTTTGTCCCTGGTTTGTGCACTTCTGCAATACTTGGGTTCCCAAAAGGCTGCTGCTACCTCTCTCTTAGTTGGGGGAGGGATGCTGTTTAGGATACAATAAACAATAGCTCTCACAGCATGCAACATCAGAAATAGAATGATGAGAAGAGACCTGCTAGATCCGATCAAAAGCTCTCTATAATTCAGCATCCTCTTACCAAACGTAGCCAGCCAACTGCTTCTGGGCAGCCCGCAAGCAAAGCATGAAGCCAACAACACCAATTTCCTGCCATTGCTCTGCAAGCCGCTGATATTCAGAGGTATTTTACCACTGAATATGGAGGCTCCATTTAGCTGAGGAGTGAGGAAGCCTGTGCCCTTCCACATGTTGTTGGACCACAATTCCCATCATCCCTGACCACTTGGCCATGGTGGCAGGGCTGATGGCCGTTGGGAGCTCAACAGCATCTTAGAGGACACAGGTTCCCCTTCCCTGCTCTAGCCATTAGCAGAACCATCATTCCCAGTTCTCTTCCACTATTGAGCTGTGCAAAGGTTTGCCTTCTGTTCCTAGTGCAGAATTACCTCCCTCCTTTAGACTCCAATATCTACAGTGATGCCAGCCCAAAAGTGCCTAACCTTGAGGTGCAGGGCTCAGTGCAGAATATGATTTTAACCTCCCTCACCAAACAGCAGCAGCAGCTAAGCATATGCTTTTGAATGTACACAGCACACATTTCCCTCCCCATTGTTTAGGCCGAGCCTGCCTGCACATGTCAGAAATCAGGATGCAGAGCAATCACAAAGACAA